CAAAAGTCCAAGGCTGCGGGCGCAGCGCAGCGCGGAGTCCCCGCGACGCGCGCAGGTCGCCCCGGAGGGGTCCCAACGACGCGCGCGGGTCGTCCGCTGCGCGGAGCAAAAGAGCTAGCTGCCTGGCTGATAGCGGGCAAGGCTCTTGCCGCTGGGCAGAGCGACGACGGTCTCAGGGGGCCTCTGGGGACGCATGCGGACTGTGCCACTTGGACCTTCGGCAGAGCTCCTATGGGACCACGAAACGTGTGAGGGGTGGGCCGAAATCAATGGTGGGGACGCATGCGGACTTTGCCACTGGGACCTTCGGCGGAGACCCTATGGGGCCACGAAGCGTGTGAGGGGTGGGATGGCGGGGACGCATGTGGACTGTGCCACGGGGACCTCCGGCGGAGCTCCTGTTGGGCCACGAAACGTGTGAGGGGTGTGCCGACATGAGTGGCGTAGACGCATGCGGACTGTGCCACTGGGACCGTCGGCAGAGCTCCTATGGGGCCGCGAAACGTGTGAGGGGTGGGCCGACATGAATGGCGGGGACGCATGTGGACTGTGCCACGGGGACCTCCGGCGGAGCTCCTAAGGGGCCACGAAACGTGTGAGGGGTGTGCCGAAATGAGTGGCGGGGACGCATGCGGACTGTGCCACTGGGACCTTCGGCGGAGCTCCTGTTGGGCCACGAAACGTGTGAGGGGTGTGCCGAAATGAGTGGCGGGGACGCATGCGGACTGTGCCACTGGACCATGGGGCTACGAAGCGTGTGAGGGGTGGGCCGAAATGAGTGGCGGGGACGCATGCGGACTGTGCCACTGGGACCGTCGGCGGAGCTCCTATGGGGCCACGCAACGTGTGGGGGGTGGGCCGACATGAGCGGCGGGGACGCATGCAGACTGTGCCCGTGGGACCTTCGGCAGAGCTCCTATGGGGCCACGAAACGTGTGAGGGGTGGGCCGAAATGAGTGGCGGGGACGCATGCGGACTGTGCCACTGGGACCTTCGGCGGAGCTCCTGTTGGGCCACGAATCGTGTGAGGGGTGCGCCGAAATGAATGGCGGGGACGCATGCGGACTGTGCCACTGGGGCCTTCGGCGAGGCCCCTATGGGGCCACGAAACGTGTGAGGGGTGGACCGAAATGAGTGGCGGGGACGCATGCGGACTGTGCCACCGGGACCTTCGGCGGAGCTCCTATGGGGCCACGGAACGTGTGAGGGGTGGGCCGAAATGAATGGCGGGGACGCATGCGCTTTCGGCGGAGCTCCTATGGGGCCTCGAAGCGTGTGAGGGGTGGGCCGAAATGAGTGGCGGGGACGCATGCGGACTGTGCCACCGGGACCTTCGGCGGAGCTCCTATGGGGCCACGAAACGTGTGAGGGGTGTGCCGAAATGAGTGGCGGGGACGCATGCGGACTGTGCCACTGGGACCTTCGGCGGAGCCCCTTATGGGGCCACGAAACGCTGTACTGGGTGGGGGAGACGCATGCGGACTGCGCCACGGGGACCTTCGGTGGCGCTCCCCGTGGGGCCACGAAGCGCTGTACTGGGGGCGGGGAGACGCATGCCAACCGCGCCATTGGGACCTTCGGTGGAGCTCCCTATGGGGCAACGAAACGTGTGATGATGTTGATGATGATGATGATGATGATGTTGATGATGATGACGACGATGATGACGATGAAGATGACGATGACGATGACGATGCTGCTGATGATGATGCTGATGCTGATGCTGATGCTGATGCTGCTGCTGATGATGATGATGATGATGATGATGACGAGAGGAGGGGAGGAGGGAGGAGGAAGGAGGAAACGCGGGGCGCTATCTCTTCAAAACGAGGACCCAACACCACAGGATGGTTGGGAAAAAACCTCACCACAATGGCGTAGAGCAGCCAACAACACATATCATCACACCCCTGGCGTAAAAATGCCAGCGAAGTATCATCACCCCCACTGGCCTCAAACTGTCAGCGAAATATCCGAACCCTCCCTGGCCTAACACTGCTGGCGAAATATCCTCCACCCCCTGGCCTAAAACCGCTGGCAAAACATCCTTACCCTCCTGGCCTAAAAGTGCCAGCGAAATATCCTCCACCCCCAGGCCTAAAATTGCTGACGAAAGATCCTCACCCCCCTGGCCTAAACCTGCCAGCGAAATATCCTCACCCCCCAGGCCTAACACTGCCACTCACTCCCTTGGCCTGAAAATGCCAACGATATATCCTCACCCCCCTGGCCGGAAATTTGCAGCGAAATATCCTCATACCTCTTGCCCAAAACTGCCAACGACATATCCTCACCCACCGGAAATAAAACTGCCATCTAACGGCTCTTGTGATTCAGTCAGTCAGTCAATCAGTCAGTCAGTCACATCACGGACAAATCACATCCTCACCACCATGGCGTAAAGCAGCAAACAGCACATATCCTCACACCCCCTGGCGGAAAGTTAGCCAGCAAAAACATCCTCACCCCTTGATCGTCAACCTACCACAGACAGATCGTCACCTCTGTTGCGCAAACCTACCAGCGAAATATCCTCGCCCCCCTGGCCTTAAGCTGCCAGAGGAACATCCTCACCCTCTGGCGCAGATCTGCCCGCGAAGTTTCATCACCCCCCCTGGCCGAAAACTGCAAACTAACTCTCCTCACCCTTTGGCCTAAAACTGCCAGCGAAACATCCTCACCAATCTGGCGCAACCCTGCCAGCGAAATATCCTCACCACCCTGGCCTAAAACTGCCAGCGAAATATCCTCACCCTCTGGCCTTGCCAGCGAAATATCCTTATCCCCACTGGCCTAAAACTGCCAGCGAAATATCCTCAGCCCCTCTGGCCTAAAAATGCCAGCGAAATATCCTCACCACCCTGGCGCAAACCTGCCAGCGAAACATCCTCACCCCCCTGGCCTAACACTGCCAGCAAAATATCCTCACCCCCCTGGCCTGAAAATACAAGCGACATATCCTCAATCCCCTGGCCTAAAACTGCTAACGACATATCCTCACCCACTGGAAATCAAGTTGCCATCTAACGGCTTCGGCGATTCAGTCAGTCAGTCAATCAGCCAACCAAACAGCCAGCCAGTTACCTCACGGAAAAAATCACATCCTCACAACCATGGCATAAACTGCCAATAAAATGTCCTCACCCTCTCAGGCGTAAAACTGCCAGCGAAAAGTATCCTCACCCCTCTGGCGTAAAACTGCCAGCGAAATATTCCCAAGCCTTTGCGCCAGCGAAATATCCTCACCCCCCCTGGCCTAAAATTGCCAACACTTTTCTCCTCCCCCCCTGGCCTAAAACTGCCAGCGAGATGTCATCATCCCCCTGGCATGCAAACCTCCACCCCCTAGCCTTAAACTGCCGGCGAAATATCCTCACCACCCTGGCCCAAAACTGCCAGCGACATATCCTCACCCCCTTGCCTAGAACTGCCAGCGAAGTATCCTCCACCCCCCTGGCCTCAAACAACCAGCGAAATCTCCTCCCCCCCCTGGCCCAAAACTGCCACACATCCCCCTGGCCTAAAACTGCCAGCGAAACATCCTCACCCCCTGGCGCAAACCTCCCAGAGAAGTACCCTCACCCCGCTGGCCTAGAACTGCCAACGATATATCCTCACCCCCTGGCCTAAACCTGCCAGCAAAATATTCTCATCCCCCCCCCCCCCAAGGCCCAAAACTGCCAGCGAGATGTCATCACCCCCTTGGCCTAAAACAGCCAGCAGAATATCCTCACCCCCTGCTTCAAGACTGCCACTCTCCCCTGGCCTAAACCCGCCAGCGAAATATCCTCACCCCACTGGCCTAACACTGCCAGCGAAATATCCTCTCCCCCCTGGCCTAAAACTGCCAGTAGAAGGTCCCCAACCCCTGGCCTGAAACTGCCAGCGACGTATCCTCACTGACACCTCACGGCTCCTAGGATTCAGTCACTCAGGCAATCACTCAATCAATCAATCAGTCAATTACCCTACGAAAATCAGATTACGGGCTGCGCCCGTAAAAAAGCTCCGAAATGGTTTCGAGAGGCCACCAACAAGCTTCCAAGAGGCTCGCAGGTCGAAAGCTCAGTGAAGGCTTTATGGTTGACTTGTCGTATTCGTCGTTTTCATCGACGTTTCATAATTCCTCCGTCATCCTTCTATTGGTTCTGCTATTCGTCTCATTCTTCTCCTCCTCCTCCTCCTCCTCCTCGTTCTCCTGTTTCTGCTCCTCCTTCCCCTTCCGATTGTCAAAGATAGCGACCTCCCACCCCCGAGAAGGAACTAAGATACCTCCAAGAGGGCCTCTAGAATAACACAAAGAAGCAGCCGTGACGCGATGACATGAAGTGATTCATTCGACACATGTTCCCAACGTTCCTGCGACCCCGGCACGTTTACAAGGTGGCTGTTCAACTGTATGCGTGTACACTTCCCTGATCAAACCAACTTGCCTGGCGATCGTTTCTGGATGGGCTGGTGGGGATATGCGAAGACTCAAAAATCGCCTGAGCGTGGCCCAGCTTAGCGTATCGCGACGGTGTCGCCACCTCGCCGCCGGAAAGGAAGTATGAATGCGTGCATCTGTGTGTGCGTGTGTGTCTGCGCGCGCGAGTCGGATGGAGCCCAGACGAAGAGGATGAGAAAAGAATCGGATGAACAGCTGGAGAAGGGGACCAAGACATTTCCCCAAAATCGCCCCCCAATGTAATCACATGCTCGTTGAGACCTCACTAACAACAGGATTCGGCTGAGTGTATTGGACTGGGAGGAGGGGGGAGACAGTAAAGGACAAGAACTACGATGGTGATGAAACGAAGACGCCTACGGGGAACATCAGGTGTTTGTGTGAGGTGACTGGCAGTATGTATCCATGCAACGGTATCTGTCCAACCTAGATTTAGCAAACTGACCCAGAACGTCAATGGATTCCCAGCTCCATGCCGGCTTACGAACTTTCTGTGAGGAGTCTGCTAGCAAACCACTGCAAGATGAGACGAAGCAGGTTGATGACCGGTGGCCTTACGAAGAGGACGCTGTAGAACATACCTCTGCGCGAGCTCGAGACGGCCGTCAACGCCAGCCCGCTTGAGCTTCCAGATATCGTGGTCTTCCCAGACGGCAGCCGGCTGAACGCCTGGGCCAGATCGGCTATCGAGCAGATCTCTTTCCAAACGGTGCAGAACCATACCATGAGTGCCATGCAGCACATTGGTGGACCAACCTGGTGAATCCCAAATGCAGGCAACCACTCGCCAAGAGGAGGTGCGTCTCGCTTGCCCTTCTCCTGAGCCCTCACACCCAGATATTCACTGATGGACGCAAACCCTTCGATTGGCCCCGAAGACATTGGGGCGTCTCTGAATTCACATACCTTTCTGGCCAGAGATGTGTATGTCAGATCGTCCACGAACTTGACATTGTGCGCAATCATTGTGCGCCATGACTCGTACTCCTGGACTGTCTCTTCGCTGAAATGAGCAGGCGTCAGACTGTCGTTCACGATCAGGATGAACAAGACCTGCACCGCTACGTTGATCGACAACGCAACCACCGTGAACAGCGAGGCGCACACACCTGCCTCTGAGCACCCGATGAGTGCGGCAGCGTCCCACATACTCTCGCCGAGCGCAACCTCGCCCTCTGCGGCAGGCACGGCAACAGACCCCGCTCCGACCTCCGCGCCCTCCGTGACCATCAACCCGAACTTGTCGTGTGACTCCTGCCCGCCTCCCAGTCCTCCTCCTCCACTTTCATCCTGCCGCCTCGAGCTGCAGCTCCTTCCTGACCCCTCCTGCTCGCGCCCAGTTCGCGCGGGCAGGGTCACATGCCACTCTACAAGGCCATTCCAAACAGAAAGCGCCGCGGGAGCGAATCTTTCGAACGCAACGTGGGCCAGTCGCAAGTCGGATCGCAAGGAAGGCCGTTAAGGGCGCAGGACGCGGGTCACGGGTGGGTCGCGGAATTGTCGCCCAGCTGTCCGCCGGTGTGTCGCAGGCCCGATCGGGTAGCGACAGCGACAAGGTAACGAGCAGCAACAACAACAACACAACCAACAACAACAATCATTGTAAGACTGTTCGCTCCTATCTGCCCGCGTGTCATTCAGCGTGTAAGCCCCAAACCCTCGGTACCCGCCCTTCTTCGTCTTAGGTAGTACCCCCTTAGAGCTAGATCTTCCTTACCTGCCACGTGTATAAAGCGCAGCCCCTAAAACAGGTGAAGCGAGGACGGATGGAAGGGGCAGGACGAAGGATGGAGCACGATAGAGATTAGTAGGAGGGGGGATAAGAGCAGAGCACACGTGGCAGAACCAGACGGGCAGATCGGGCGGGAAGGCGGACCCAGGCGGCCAGGTCGAACAGGCTGGTCGCTGACGCGTGAGTCCTGCATGAATCGCAAGGGAATTTCGTTTCGAGCGATAGGGCGATTCCCAAGTAAATCGTGAGAAAGGCCAAATGGCGAGAAATTATTTCCCAAGCGTCAAGGGCGCCGCGACTGAATAAATCTTGAGGACGCCCCACGCGAGAGCACGAACCCTGCATACAGTCTGAAGAAATCCATCGCGAGAACACGATTTCGAATCATTATGATGAAGTATCAGGCGGAAACCGTTGTTTGTACCCCGAAGGCCAACAATTCAATCTGATCCGCAAGACATTCCCGGGTAAAAAAACAGGTGTAAGCCCAAGGCGGAGCACTTCAATTGAAAAACACAAGTTGCACCAGGGGGATTGGGATCAAAAGTAATCTTGGAAAATGATCATCCATTCGCTTTATGGCTGTTCGCTCTCATAACCTCGTGCGTCAGTCAACATGTATATCACAAACCCTCGATAACCGCCCTCTTTGTCTTTGATCGTACCCCCTTCAGGGGGTAGACCTTCCTTCCCTGTCACGCATAATTGGCGCAGCCCTTCAACAGGAAGAACAGTCATCATGGAAAAGGGAGGGAGCGAGGTTGAAGGGAGTGAAAGAAGGGAGGGAGGAGGGACAGGTGGCAAGAGGGAGGGATAGAGAGAAGATGGAGGTCCCGCTGCAGGTGGCAAGAGGTGGGGTGGGAATGGAGGTCGTCGTCGGGGGGGAGGGGGGTCGAGGGCAATTTGGAGGTCGAAGCGGAAGTCAGGGTGGGCGAGGAGGTGAGTGGATAAATGTAGAGGTCTAGGTCGAAGTGGAATGGGAAGGCATTGATGGTGGACGTGAGGGATAATGTTGGAGGTCGAGGTGGACGTCGAGGGGAGTGGGGACGAATGAAGATAAGTGAGGGGGAGTGGGGAAGAGCGCGGAGGAATAGCGAGGAGTGGGGAGGACGGTTGACGAGAAACTCGGAAGGAAGAGTGGGCAGGAGTGGGGAGGAAAGCGGAGGAGCGCCAGAGGAGGTGGCGAGATTATGGAGGAGTTGATTGGCGAGGACGGCGGAGCAATGGGGGGGAGTGCGAAGGAGAGTGGGGAGTATGGTGGAGGAGGGGGGGACTGGGGTGGATTGGAGTGGGGCTGAGCGGCGATTGAGTCGGAGGGGTGCGTGGATTGAAGCGGATTGCGAAGGAATGCGAGAGTGGAAAGGAGCGGACAGAAATTGGGAAGATTGGGGACACATGTGTTGGAAACCTGAACAATAAGGCATCGGAAGGTTTGGGAAAGCTTTGGGAGCGGGGCGGAGGAGGCCAGAGGGAGTATAGTGAACTGGGCGGATCGGGGCGGGGAGAAGGCTGGACGAGGAGAGATGGGGAGTAGAAAGGGAAGGAATTGGGAAAAGCAGGTGGACTGAAGTGACGCAGGAAGGAACGCGGAAAAATGCAGAGGAATGGCGAGCAGTGGGGAGGAACGGGGAGGCCTGTAGGGGAGGTCTGTGGGGAGGTCTGTAGGGGGGCTCTGGCGCGGACATCGCCCAAGAGGGCTTCCAGGGAGGGCACAAGAGGATCCACGAGGTGCCCAAGCCCCAAGAAAGGCCCCCGGAAGCCTAAGGGACGGACGAATGACGAGACGGGTAAGCGGGGGCCGAGAGTGGGGAGGGAGGGCACCCATCCATACATCAACGCGCTCGTGCATCTATACACCCACACATCCATGCATCTATACATTCATTTGGCCATACGACAACGCATGCGCACAACAACACATCCACAACCAAGCAATCACATATACATCGTAACATTTTCACGCCAACACACACATGTATCAACGCACTCATTAACTCGTCGTTTTCGTCGTTGTTCTCGCCGTCGTTCTCGTCATCGTCGTCGTCGTCGTCGTCGTCGTCGCCAGAGTCGTCATTCTCGTCGTCGTCGGCGTTGTCGTCCACGTCGTCGTTGTTGTCGTCATTGTCGTCGCCGTCGTCGCCCTCCTCGTCGTCGACGTTGTCGCCGACGTCGTCGGCGAGTAGGCGGGCAGGGGGGGGACGGGGAGGCTGGGAATGGGAGGGGGGGCGGACGGGAAAAGTGAGCCCTGACAACCAGACAAACAAGCCCACGCCCCCAGAACGTGCTCGACAAGTCTGGGTTCGGCGTGGACCCGCTGACGCGACTGCAATTCTGAAGGCACCAACGGCGACATGGTGGCGAGGATGGACTGTAAAAACGACGGCTGCGAAACCATGCACATTGCAACCCTACAGGCCTTCAGACCACTGGTCTTCAGACTGCCGTCGGACCCCCAAGCACACATCGCTGTTACATCTCCACTGGCATTCAGACTCCACGTCTCGCTTGTTACGAACGCATCAAAACAGTGTGGGCGCGGCATGACCTTTGGCGCGGCCGGCTTCGGAATAGGAGCAGCGGGCGTGTAGGTTTTCATGCGTCGAAGCAGCGTGCCCGCCTGCCCCTGCGGGCGGTGCGCCGAATTGACGGACAAGCTGGCAAGCGCCGTCTCTGGGCATGTGACAACAATCGGGGCGACCCCCTCGTACAATGTGTGTCCCTTCGCCTCCTCCATCAAGAGGCAGCGCTTGTGCACACAGCCCATGATGCTGCGGGCGAAATCAGAGGGCGTCGCCAGCGCCGCGCGGCGCAGTCGGGCGAGGTACTGCGCCCGCGCATCCGTCTTGCTCTCGGGCGAATAGTTCTCCCGCCCCCTCATGCGTTTGTTCAGATTGGCCTAGAGGGCGAAATCGGGCGGCATCAAATCCGGACGCCGCTTCGGCAAGTCCAACATGTGGATGCCAGCGGACTCCTTCACCGCCATGCCCCCGCGAGATTTTTAGCCCGCGTGGTCGTTGTCCTCCGTGGCGCGGAACTTGCCGCGCGCGGAAGGGTAGGCCTTCTTCAAGGCGGCCTGGAGCGGCCCCGCGTCCATGCGCTCCGCGGCATCGGCGTTTCACCTCCCGCCCACATGATGCCGCATTAACACTTTGCCCGCGCCGATGGCGCACGCAATGTTCAAGGGGCCCATGCCCGAACCCTGCTTCAGACCCGCGGGGCAAGCCAAATCGGAGCGCGCCGTCTGCCACTGGCCCGGCGCCGACTGGCCACGGCGCAATCTCCGACGTGCGACTGCCAACAAGCTCCGGGCTGCTCGGCTCGCTGCGGCTCACGGAATAGTCCCGCTTGCGCTTCTGGTGCATACCGCGGATATTCCGACTCGCCGCCGCCTTTCTGTACTTCGCATGGGGTAGCACCTGAAAACCATGTCGTCCATGCGCGCGGAGAGGTACTGCGACCACTGGCTGGGGCTGCGGTGCGTGCGCTCGCGGGCCCACTGCGGGCGGTCCTTCTTGTCCGCGTCCGAAAGATCTGGCTTCTCGTACAGAGGGCGGAGCCGATATCCACTCCCAAAAAAGGCGCGACGCACTGCATTGACGCCGCATCCCGACCTCAATTCGGATGTCAGCATGTCTGCCGTCACTTCCTATGCTGCGAGAATACTTGGGGAGCTCCCTGATAACGCGCTGAACAGCAAGAAATCCAGTTGGGCTGCGGGTGGGCTGTTTCGGGCGGCCCTTCGGCGTCTTGGCAATGTTCTTGTTGAACAGGTGCTTCGCGACGGTGTCCGTGGAGCGGCCCATGGCCAAGGCGATCTTCTGGACGCCGATGCCATTGTCATGCAAGCGGCGCATCGCGTTGTGCTCGTCGGAAGAAACGTGTTAGAATGATTTCGGCGCCATTCCCCGTCCGGAGCAACCAGCTGGCGAAACGCGTTGGGTCCAGGGATCGTTGCGGCCATCCTTCCTACGAGGGCATCCTGAAAATGGATTCCCGCGCTCCATCTAGGGAAGGAACCATATTTCTCCGATGCCTTCTCCATCGACAACAGGGTTCGGACGTTTCGGGTGCGCGTGAGTTGCCGTGGTCTGCGCGACATGCGCGCTCGCGCGGGCGTACAAGGGGGATCCATTGCAGGACCACCCCCTGTTGCCTGCCAGGATGGTTGCCTAAAGGTTTCGCTGGATGCCTGGTTGGCTGCGTTGTTGGTTGCGTTGTCAATTGCCATGTCGGCTGCCTCGTTTGTTGCCTGGCTGGCTGCCTAGTCGGCGGCCTCGTTGGTTGCTTCGTCGGCGGCCTTGCTGGCTGCTTCGCAAGTCTCCTCTTTGGCTGCCTTGTTGGTTGCCTCGTGGGCTGCCTCGTTGACTGCCTTGTGAGCTGCCTCGTTGGCTACCTCATGTGTTGCATCGTTGACTGCCTCGTTGGCTGCCTCAGTGGCGACCTTGCGTAGGATTGAGAGACTGTCTGGCTCATAGCGTGTTTCCCGGTTTAGAGTCCCGTCGCGCCCCATTACTTGTGCGCAATCCTGTAAGAAGGCCGATGCAAGGCAAGCAGAAACAAGGGCGAGAAGTCGCCGTCGACGTCCTGACCGTCATGTTGCCGCTTGTGTCGCTAGCACCTGCGATACATTGCCCTGCAATGTCTGTGCATCCAAACTGGCACGTAGACATCTTAACTGGACCGCGCGATGTGGTATCATGAAGTGATGTCAGTTTCGTTGTTGCCACGTGGCGCAGAGGGGACCCACACATACGCAACACGTCTTGGGCCCAACGATGCCTGAACACCACCCGCATCACTTGCGAACACCAATGCCTGTAAACAACACAAGGACACAGAGTGCAACAAGATCAATCAGTACTGCATGTATGCCCACAGTGTAAGCTCCACTTCATGTTTCCGTCCGTCCTCCATCCAACCGTACTGTCCCTCCCAACTCCTTCCTATAACGATCCGTCACCCGTCAACCCTTCCAACATTGCATCCTTCATCCTTCCACGTGTCCTCCCTGTATGCATTTCTCGCCATCACTCCTGATCCCGCGTGTTTGCATCCCGCATCCATCTATCCCTCGATCATTCTATCCATCCATCCATCCTCAGTCCTTCTCTCCCTCTTGCAGCCCTCCCTGCGCCAGTCCCTCCAGCTATCAATTCATCAATCCTGCCTCCTCCCTTCATTCGTGCGACATCCTCAACCCCTCTCCTCAATCCTTCATTTCCCATCAATCATCTTCCCATCCCTCCTCCTTCCATCCCTCCTTCCACCATTCATGTTGCATCCTCCCTGCCCCCATTACCTCTCCATCCCTCGTTCCTCCTTGTTTCCTCCTCCAACTCTCCCACCCATCAATAACTCCCCATTGCTCACACTGGGTCTTCCCTCCCTCGTCTTCAATTTTGCTAACGAGCCATGTTTCCTTGCTAATCCCTCCCTCCTCCCTCCGTCCGTCCCTCCATCCCCCAATTCTTTCGTGTCGTTCCCCTCTTCCTTCAATTCGCTTTCCTCCTCTTCATTCTCCACCTGCTCCTCCTCCTGCACCCAAAAGGCCTCCAAGAGGGCCTCCAGGAAGGCCCGAAAATTCCAAGATCATTGTTTGTCTCTAGGGTTTGGGAGATCTTGGCATGTGCTTCTTTTCGGCCTACCGACGGCCCGAGACGGCCCAAGAGCCCCCAATGATCGCCCCAAGATCGCCCAAAAGGCCTCCAGGATGGCCCCAGAACGGCCCAAGAGGCCCCCAAGACGGCCCCAAAAGGGCCCCAAGACGGCCCAAGAGGCCTCCAAGACGCCCAAAATGGCCTCCAAGACGGTCCTGGAGCACCCCAAGGGGGCCACAAGACGGCTTCCGACGGCATCAGACGGGCCAGGAGCCCACCAAGACGGCCAAAGACGCCCCCGAGAAGCCCCCAAAGGTCCCCAAGATGCCCAAGGAGGCCCCCAAGATGCCTCCAAAAGGCTCCCAGCAAGCTCCCAGGAGGCCCCAGGAGTGTCCCCAGCGGCTCCCAAGATGCTCCCTCCTCATCCTCCTCCTCCGCCACCTTCTCCTCCCTCTCCTCCTCCTCTTCCTCCTCCTGATCTTCCCCGCCATCCTCCCACAAGTGATCCCCGAAGGGTTTCCACAACGGTTGGGGGAACACATGGTCCGATAGCTTGGCAGAGCTCTTGCCACAACGCTTGGCCACATGGGCGATTCTAGAAGGCAGGGGGCGGCGGTGAGTCGCCGTAGGCGTCTTCGATAACTAACATGCCTCGCTTGAAGGGCAAGACGCATGGGGCGGCGGATATCTGAAGGGAAGCGCCCGCTGCCGCAAGCACCACTCAAGCTGAGCACTTGCCGGCTGTATTGAGGCAGTGCTGCAGCCTTCTGGGGCCATCGTGGGACCTCTGGGGGTGCATCGAGGGGCCTCGGGCCACCTGTGTGACATCTTGGGCGGTCTTGGAGCTATCTTGGGCTCTGGGGCCCACCCTGGGGCCCGCTTGGGGACATCCTGGGGCCGTCTTGGGCAATCTTGGAGCTGTCTTTTGGCGTGGGGCCCACCTTGGGGAAGCCGCATTGGACAATCTCGGAGGGCTCTGGGATCCGTAGTGACGCGATCATTGAACATCGAAGGAACATCAACTCTGACAAACAAAAGCACGCAATACCTTTGAGCTATCTGATTGTTACTGCTCTGCCGGAGGCGTCTTGGGCGCCCTCCTGGGCTAGATGTGCAGCATATTGGGGACGTGTCTGGCCGTCTTGGGCTCTTGAGGCCCTCTTCGGGGTCGTCTTCGATGCCTATTCGGCTCCATTTGCTGCCTGGTGGCGTCCCGACGGGATTTCTGGGGCTAGGGCAGCTAAGAGGCTGGGGGGCCCACCCCAGGTGATTTATGTTACCACGGGCCTGGATAGACAAGAGACACACAACAACCAAAATAGCACAGAAGAGCTGTAACAGCATTACGCCCGCAAAAAGGTTGGTGGGTAGAATTACTCTGCACCGCCTGCTGATCTCAAGTGTGGTGGAAATGACGGCGCCGGAGGTGTAATCGGACTGCGCCAAAGGTGCTAGCACGGCGCCGAATAGCGCGCGCGGCTGCGCGCTGCGCGCTGTGCAGCACTGGGTGGGCGGTTACGCGCTGCGCATTGCGCAGCATGCAGCACTGGCAACGCTACAAAGCGACGGGACTGCCCAGATTGTCTGCGAGCCTCCGATGCCCGCGAACTTCGGCTCGGAGTCTGGCCGCTTGCCCTGCAGCAGGGGGCAATTGGCAGCGGTCCAATCACGGCGCCCAGAGCGACGCTGATCGTGTGGGAGAATCACGCCGCTCCTCAAATCTACTTTTCGTCTTTCTCAAAAGAACGGCCCAACGTGCGCGGCCCGTGCAGCAGGTTTTTTTTTTTTGTCAGCGCGCTCGCGCAAGCTGAGGGACAGAGGTGGCGACCGCCTCCGCTCGACACGACACCGCACTCACGTGGGCAGTGACGTTGGTCCGCCACCTCGATGGGGGGGCAAACTTCGGGAGGGGGCCTGACTGTAATGCTAGATTGTAGCGACGAGGCACGCGCGCCAGAGTTCCCCTGGGCTGCCTAACAGGGTTCACGTTGGGGTGTATGATGATGACCAGAGTCGTCAGGGCCCCAACATGGCCCACAAGTCCACGAGGACTGCATCAGAAACGCGTGCTGGGGATGCCGGAGCTCCGACCCGAGGGCCACAGCGTGGCCTCAACGGCTTGCCAAACATGCCACTAGGACTGTGCGGGAATTGCCTCGAGGGCGTTGAGGCCCTCGCCGTGCGGGCCCCAATGTGGGACCGCCGTCCCTCGGGGCACGCGGTGACGGCGTCTGAAGCAGAAACGGAGGCCCACGCGGCGCGGGGCTGAGCGTGCCCTGCGGCCCTCACACGGTCCAGCAGCCAATGCGGGCTGTGCGTGAATCGCGTCCTAGGGCCCTCGCCATGAGGGCCTCAGTGTGACCTCAGCGCGGTCCTGAACTCCTTCGGCCCTGTCGAGGAGTCACGTGTTAGGGGGCGTTGAGGCTCCCACCATGAAGGCCTGGGCGTCGCGCCTCACCCTGGTGCACAGTCAACCCGTATAATAAGAACGCACGGTAAGGATGCAAGGGCCTTGGAAGGCCATGTTGACGTATTTCGAGTGGGGCTGGCCAGCGAAAGTTGCCAGGGATGGGCCGTTGGGGCAATGATGCAAGGGCAACCCGAGAAAATTACTCGTCTCTCCTGTGCGGGTTGACTGAATGCAGCCCCTCAGGGCAGCGCGGGACTCACGTAAGTGGGACGCCGAGGCCCTCGTCGGGAAGGCCGCAACGCGGACTCAGCATGGCCATGACGCCCCCCATTTGGGCTGCCACAGGGGTCGTGTGTAGCTGGTCTCGGGGATCTCGCCCTGCGGTCCTCCACGTAGCCTCAACATGGGTTTGAGCTCTCCCCCGCCCGCAGAGCTGCGGCTACGCGGGGATCCCGTGCGGGAGACGTCTCCCTCGTCCTTCCCCCTCTTCCCTTCTGCTGCCCATCCTCTTACAGCTGCTCTTCCTCCTCCTCCTCCTCCTTCTCCCCCTCCTCCTCCTCCTCCTCCTCCTCCTCCTCCTCCTCCTCCTCCTCACTCCTGCTCCTCCTCCTCCTCCTCCTCCTCCTCCTGCTCCTGCTCCTCCTCCTCCTCCTCCTCCTGCTCCTCCTCCTCCTCCTTCTCCTCCCCCTCCCCCTCCTCCGCCTCCCCCCCTCCTCCTCCTCCTCCTCCTCCTCCTCCTCCTCCTCCTCCTCCTCCTCCTCCTCCTCCTCCTCCTCTCCTCCTCCTCTCCTCCTCCTCCTCCCCTCCTCCTCCTCCTCCTCCTCCTCCTTCCTCTCCTCCTCCTCCTCCTCCTCCTCCTCGTTCTCACTTACTCCTCCCCGCTCATGATCATCCTCACCCCTCCTCAGTCGTCCTTATCCCTCCTCCCTCCTCCCACTCCTTTTCCTCCTCCGCCTCCTCCTCCTCCTCCTCACTCCTCCCTCCTCCCCCTCCTTCCCCCAACTCCTCTTCCGCCTCCTCCTCCTCCTCCTCACTCCTCCTGCTCCTCTCCTCCTCCTCTCCCTCTCCCTCCCTCCCCCTCCCTCCCACCCTCCTTCCCTGCTTCCCCTTCGGACCACCCCCCGTTCGTCACATCCCCCTCCCCTCCCCTCTCCCCCCCACCTCCCTCTCCCGGAGGGTCCGCGATGGATGCCACCGACGGCTCGCCATCGGCCTTGTCGGCGGTCGGCCGGTTCGCGGTCGCTTGAAAGTGCTGTTCCAGCTCGACGGGCCTCTCGGCGGCCCTGCCGGGAAGAAGAGAAGGGCACCTTCCCCGACATCAGCATCATCGTTGGTCCTCCTCCTCCTCCTCCTCCTACCCCCTTCCTCCTCACTTGTCGTCCTCCTCCTGCTGTTGAGGAAGCAGATGATCACGGGGTCCTCCTCCCTTCTCCCCTTCCCTCCTCACAAAACGTTGTCTGACTTTTGGGGCCTCCTGGCACAGCCAGAGACATGTGGAGAGTGCAGTAAGCCTCCAGAGGGAGCAGGGGGAGGAAGGAAGACGAGAGGAAAAGGAGGATGCAGAAGAGGAAGAAGAGGGGAGATATAGTCGGGGAGGGGGAGAGGGGGAGCGAAGAAAAGGGAGGGAGGGCAAGATGGAGGAAGGGGAGGAAGATGTGGCGGAGAAGGGGGAGGGGAAGAAGAAGGATGCGCAGGAGAAGAAGCTGAGATGGGAGAGGATATGGACGGGGAGAAGGAAATGGAGATTCAGGGTGATAGCAAGGCAGGAAGAGGAGAAGACGCAACAAGCAAGATGCTGACGAAACCAAGGACGAGGAGGGAGAGAAGGAGCATAAGGGCAACAAGGGTGAGGACGACAAGCAATACCACCAGGAGGAGCGGGGGGAAGGAACGAGGGGACGAGGAAGACCATGCACGGGAACATAACAATGACGATGGAGGACAAGGAGAATGAGGAGGAGGAGGAAGAGAAGAAGGCGCACGAGAACGAGAAAGAACACGCAGAGTAGAGGGAGGGAGGAGAAGCACGACGGCAGGGAGGAAGATTAGGCTAGGGTGGGTGAGGAGAAAGGGGAAGGGGGCGATAGACAAAATTGGGGTGGAAAGGGAAGAGGATGACAACGACGGAGTAGGTGGCGTCAGAAGGGAGGGTAGTGGCCGAGGACGATGTGGGAGACACGGACGAAGATGGTGAGGTATGAGGATTGAGGCTCTCAGGAGGAAGATGGAGGACGACGAGGATGCGGTCGATGAGGCTGAAGAGGAGGAGAACGACGAAAACTACGATGAGGACACATAAGGACGAGGAGGTCGCCGCATCAGGTGCTCCAGCTGCGCCACCCGCGCCTCCAGGGCCGACGACCACTGCACGGGGTCAACATCGAGGCGGGCTTCGAACGTCTCGCCGGCCTGGCTGGAGTGCGGGTCGGCATCGAGACGACCATCGAGCCTTTCGCCATCGCGGGCCCTGCTCGAGGGCGGCTCGTCGCCAGACAGGCCGCCCTGGAAAGAGCTCAAGGCGTGCTCCAGCTCCGCCCATCTCTGAGCGCGCTCGTGCTGAAACGCCTGAGCGACCGACTCCAGAGCACCTTCCAGCGGCGCACAGGTGGCGGGGCGGGAGCGGCCTTCGAGGAAAGCACGGGAGCTTCTGAAGAAGGCTCGGAGGCTCACCCGGCAAAAGCTCCGCAGAAACCTCCGGCCCCTCCTAAGAGAACCCCGCCCTTCTCCGGCGGCCGCCCCGTAGCGCCGCGCCCCTGTGCGTCGACGAGCCTTGCACGGCGGCCCTCTCCTCCACGATGCGCTGCTCCATCCGCCCCTCCAGCTGCTGACACGCCTGCAGCACACCATGGGCCCGCTGCTCGGTCGCCCTGCCCTGCTCCTCCATCAAGCGCACCGTGGCCCTGCTGTGCTCATCGAACAGGTCCTGGAACGTCCTGCGCATGTCGTCCAATTGGGACTGAACAGCCATACGGCTATCGTCCAGCAGTTTCCTGGTCAACGCTCGGTGTTCCTCACACTCCTCTGCCACCTTACTGTTGAGAATAATGATTAGCTCATCGGCTGCAGTGTCCCTCGTCGGACTCAAGGGCGCAAGCTGTAAAGAATCCATCCTCCAAGGCGCTCGCTACTACTCTCCGTGGCAGCGTACTGGGCCCGAATGCTCGATCTGGGGCGCTAGACTCACTGGAACATGATGGTTTGGACCAACATGGCTGCGGATGATGTCCCCGTCTGCCGAGAGGCACGAGCTGCGACTGCGGATGATGACGATGATGAAAACGACGATTGCGATGATGATGTTGGAAGTGATGATGACGCTGCTGCGGGCGCTTGTGATGATTATGATTATATGGATGGTGATGATGCGGATGAAAATGATGATGATGATGATGATGATGATGATTATGATTATGATGATGATGATGATGATGGCGATAAGGAGGATTAGGATGATTATGATGGTGATGATGATGTAGATGATGATAGTGGTGCTGATGATGATGATGGAGCAACTGACGATGATGACGATGATGATGACACATAGGATGATGATGCTGGTGGTGCTGCAGGTGCATATGTTCATGATGATGATGAGGGTGATAATGATGATGGTGGTGATGCTAGTGAGCATGGTGACGCGGATGTCAATGATGCTGGTGGTGATGAATCAGCTGATACTGATGCTGATGGCGCGGCTACTGATGTCGATGACAAGGATCATGATGCGGATGATGATGATGATGATGATGATGATGATGATGATGATGATGACGCTGCTGATAATGGTGTTGATGATGCTGCATATGATGATGCGGGTGGTGGATCTGATGCTGATGATCATGATGATAGTGATGATGACGGTGACGATGATGAAGAAGATGATGATGCTGACGTTGATGATGATGATGATAATGATGATGATGCTGACGATGACGATGACGATGATGATGATGATGATGATGATGATGATGATGATGATGATGATGATGATGATGATGATGATGATGATGATGATGATGATGATGGTCCAGACACCTCCGAGAGGCCGTGGTCAAGATGCAAATCTGCCTGTCGCGCCGGCGGCGCGGTGTCCGCCACCCGCAGTGCAAAGCCGCTGGGCGAGCGGCCCGTGCGCCTGCGAAGTCGCCGCGAACACCGCGAGCGCCGCGGCGGCGCCGGAGCTGAGGCGGCCGCAGGCCCAGACGGGCGGCGGCGACGGGCGGCGCGACGGGCGGCGACCGGCCACCACAAGCCGACCAGACACCGGCCACCACCACCGCGCACAGGCCCAGACACGCGGCGGCGACGGGCAGCGACGGGTCACCGCAAGACGGCCGGACCAGCGCACGGGCCCCGTTCCTGATGAGAGAAGTAAGAGCCCGTCAACGCAAGCACTGTTTGGGGCATTTTGGAGGAGGCGGAGGAAGAGGCGCCAGGGAGACTGTGGAGTCGGCAGGCACCCCTGCCGCAGGACCGTCCTCGCCCTGTCCCCCCGGCGTTTAGCAAAATCTGTCATTTTCTGCCCTCGACCATGCTGCTGTTTGTCCTCCCCGTCCTCGACCTCCCTCCTCCAACTTCACGTCCTCGCGCCTCTGCGTGCAGCGGCCCGTGTCCTGCATCCATGCGCGGCAGCTCGACCAGCCTGCACGCTGGGCCTCTGGGGCTCGGGAGGAAGCAGGATGAAGAGCAGGAGGATCTAGGAACAATCGGTCTAGACGTTGTTGTCATCTTGGGGCGCCATGGGGCCTCTCCAAGGGGACCAGAAGGAGGAAGGGCAGGAGGAGAAGCAGGAGCCGGAGAAACAGCTACAGCAGGACCATTCGGATGAGGAGGGGGGGAGGGAGGATGGATATGTGGAGAAAAACAACAGGAGGAGGGGTAAGAGCGGGCATAGGACGAGGGCGAGAGTTTGGGCCAATTAAAAGAAATTGTATAGAATTGCCAGGGGGCCCTTTATGAGGAGGCGTGCGTCATCTGGTGCCGATAATGCCGCCTGCACCACCACCGTAATAATGTAAGACATGCGACCAGAAAGCTAATGTGCACGACGCGTCCAATCGATTCAGTCATCCGGATTTCCCAAAACCAGAGCAATTGAGAATATCGTTTGTGAGTTTGGCTCGAAGTTGTATTTTAGTCTGTTACGTACATGTTACATACAAGAAGCACGCTGCCTTAGTTTACGACGTCGCGTAACTTTGCGGTGTTGCAGCTATTTGTTATGAATGTGGTGCGCAACATTGCAAGTGCATTGACATTGGGTTGCTGGTGCGTTGCGTTTTCTGCTGGGTGCTGCGATGCGATCGAATCATCCTCGCTGCTTCGGTCTGCTTTGGGGAGCAGTGCAACAATGCGATCTTTGCAAGGATGCCCGTGTGCAAGGTATTGAGATGCGTTGCGTTATAATATGTTGCTGCCGCGTTGTGACGCGAACCGTTGCTAGAATGACACCCTTGTGGCAGAAGACCCGAAACAACTGTACACAAGGGCGATTGGGGACAACGATGTGGGGCCGCGATAGGGGGGATACGGAGAGGGATACATGGAATAGGGACATGTACACATATTCCTATTCTTATACTTTTATTACCGTGAACCCCCCCACCCCCCCCCCAGACCCCCCCCCCCTAAACCAGATCCTTCCCCCAGGGACGCTCCGGACGCCCTTTCGGACGTTTCGGCGGCCCCCTGGACGCCCTTGGAAAAGGTTCGGTGGCCCTTCCGGGCCTCCCAGGGCGCCTCGCTGGGCCTTGCGAGCCGACTGAAGGCGATTAGAGGGGTCGTCGGAGAGGCGCAAGAGAGACCCAAGACAGCGCAAGAGCGCTCCAAGAGGAACCTCGATGGTCTGAAGACGGCCCAAGAGGCCCCCAAGACACCCCAAGAAGCCGTTAAGAGAGCCCCGAAGAAGCCAAAATCGTCACATTCCCTCAGGAAATACATTTGTTGTGCATCTCCGCTTTTTGGGTCTTCGCAGCGTCCAAGACGGCCCAATGGGCCCCAATCTCGCCCCAAGACGGCCCGGGAGGCCCCCTAGAGGGGTTGAAGGCGGCCCAAGGGGGCCCCAAGACTGCCCCAGAGAGCCCCGAGACTGCCCACAAGAAGCTCAAGATGCCCCCAGAGGGATCCCAAGACAGACCCACGAAAGCCATGGGATACCTCCAAGAACGCCACTGGAGGCCCGCAAGAGGGCCCTAGATGGCTTCAGAAGACCTCTGGAGGGCCCCAGGTCCCCAAGGCGGCCCAAGAAGACCCCAGGACGGCCCAAGAGTGCCCCAGGACGGCACAAAAGAGCACCAAAAACGACCAGACGGCGTTCTCTTACGAAATACATCAAGCTGACCCGACGATCTTGGTTCCACGTTTGGGGCTCGAGGTTTCAGTAGCTACCCGATCGAGAGAGACAGGCAATGAATCTAGATTCGAAATTCGACGATCGAGGATTTCCTGAGTGCCTGGAGCCCTCCAGGCATTCGGGAAGCGATCAAAAATCGATGTGTTCGGAGCTACTGTGACTTCTTCGGCGTGTCATGGGAACGCTCCTTACTTCCTCAAAGGACCTTCGCGCGCGAAAAAATCAGCATGATTTCCCCACTCCTGCGCACAAGCGTGCCAGCGCATCGTCCGAAAGCGGTGTCAGCAGGCACCCGGGATATCGGAAAAATGGGCGGGTCGCCCGTCCATGCCTCGAGGTCCTCCCTGCTGAAGAAAGCGATGACTTATTGCTTTGCCAGGGAAGCGTCCGGAACAAGGCGCATGGCGCGAAGCGCCAATGCAGTCCTGTATATGTGTATATATATATGTATATATATATATATGTATGGAGATGCACAAATTTGGAGTAACACTGGGAAACAATTGCCGACCCCCCATTGTGGAGAAACTATGTCGCTTCTCGCCCCTGAACTGATGTCCCGCCCCCGCACCCCTTGTCGATGCTAGCCCTTGATTCATCAATGGTTATCGGGTATATACAGTGTTTTGATTGGTGGCGTGCTATTGCAATTTAAAGTTGTCTCAGGGCTGTCTCAGAGATTGAGACTGTCGGCGGGGGCCATTGCCTCCGAAGAGGCCGTCTTGAGGCCTCTCTTGACACGGTTTGCTTCACTTACTCCCACTGTGGCTCCCACCGCCGTCCCCCCCCCCACCCCCCCCCGCGGAAGTATTTCATCGACCACTATGCGACGGTGCTAAAAATATTGCTCGGCGGCTCCCCCTCCTCGGGAATTACCTGATCCCTTGAATGCAACGGATGACACCCGGGGGGGATCGACGATTGCTTCCCTCGGTTAGATCCGGGGATCGGGGCTACGAGTAAGCGCAGGGGGGGGGGTATCATGGGTGGCCACGATGGGCCACCGATTTCGGGGACCCCGCTGGGTGGCCACGGTGGGTCACCAGCTTCGGGGGCCACGGCTCCCTCACTGGGCGTTCGAAACGTGATGTACAGCCCTGACAGACAAGCTGTCGAGTCCCAGTCCGTTTCAAGGACAACGAAAAGGAGACGTGTCAGGCAAACCGCACCACCGCACTGCAAAATCCGCCGACACTGTCGGCGTGGTTGAAAGGCTCGGGCAGCCGCGTCAGCCCGAAGGGGCAGCGCCAATCATCCGAAGCGTTCACCAAACGGAGGGAAATCGAGCAACGTCGCAATCATGCCGAAGGGAAGACACTTTTCTTTCATCCCTTACCCGCGGAAGGGGGGGTAATAAACGAACACAAACAACCAACTTGCCTTTACAAGAGCAGCGTGTGCCCCATCGGCTCCGCCACCGTGTTCACGAGCTGGCCCGCAGCCATACAATGCAAGGCTGGCCTGCATCAGAACCCAGAGGCGAAACACTCTTATGTCTGATCCCAACACGTCCAAACTATGTGAGCTCATGGTCTTATGGACCGATGATCCTCTTCTGTGGCGCACAACGAATTGGCACACTTCTGGGGCCATTTCTTCACGAGAGGCGTCTGGGCCCGGGCAATAATTGCGCGGCCCGAGTACTCCGCGCAAGCTGGCCCTGAGAACGCGCATGTCATTTCCGCCCAACGTGTACACGAGAATTCAACCAGCAAGCTCCGACGGAATCGCAACTGCCGAACATGGATTTGCTCCGTTTTTGCCAAGGGGTGCCCGAAAAAATTGAGAATTACTTGAGGATCTGATGCAAAGAACTGACGTTCTGGTGCGTGCCAATGCAGACTGACAAATGATAATTCTTGCCCATGGCGCATCGCTTTGGAACAGTGTCGCGCCATTCCCCAAGGTTGGCATTCACATTGCCACCGAAGCTGCGAGAATCGTTCCAGCTGGACCGCCGGAACAAAACATCCGAGTGCTCCCGGGGCAGCTGAGATCCACAGAACGCGGGACACTCAGGTCCGACATGCCGGCCCGCAGCCCGGCCAACGCCGCCCGTGCGGCGCGCCGCTGATCGGACGGAGCTCGGACCAGCGGGGAACGCGATGACCGGGGGATCCGCCTGGCCGCCCGAAGGATCCTGGAGCCGAGCGCGCGGGCCTGGCTGCGCGCTGCCATAGACGCGGGCAGTGACGATCTCAACAACCCTGGCATAGTTCCCCAATCGGTGGTTGCACTGAAGGGGTCCTGGCGGATCTTGAAAGATTTGGCGAAAATTGGCAGCACATTTTGGTGGGCCGCCGGGTTCCTGGGCTCCTGGTTCCGAGTTCCCGGGTTCCCGGTTCTGGGGTCCGGGCCAACTTCGCTGGGTGGCGGGGTTCCCAGGTTTCAAGGGTTCCCGGTTTCCTGGTCGATCTCCTTATCCATCGGTTTCACCATCGATCTCATTACCCACCTCTCTATCGATCCCACTATCGAACTCACAATCGATCTGAGGATTGATATCACAATCGATCTAACTATAGATCGCACGAGCGATCTCACGATCGATCTCACAATCGTTCTCACTGAATCGACGTCACGATCGGTCTCACGATCGGCCTTACGATCGTCCCCACTATCGATCCCACTTTAGATCTCACTATCGACCCTACAAGCAATCTCAATGCCCATATTATCAATTTTCAAGCCATCCACTGAATGGTGTTTTCCTCAGGTGTCATGCTCGGTTGGGTCGCCCGCAAGGTTCGGCCGTGTGAGCTTAGCTTAATGACAGCCCGAAGTGCGCGATCGCCACCGGCGCCTTCTCGCATTGGCTTGCGCCGCGGCCGCCAACGAAATGACCTTGCTGAAGTTACGTCGCTGAAACGCCCTCATCGGCAGGTTCGACCCTCCGGGCAGGCGCTGGCCAGCAACAATTGCTTGGGGGTTGCTGCCGTGACAGCGTGCTCTCTCAAGAATGGAACAATCACCAAAAGAGAGTTGCCAGGCGTGTATCGGTGCCCGAATCCCTGAAACAGGATACGAACCAACGGCAACATTGGAAGGAGGGCACAATCAAGTAGAACACGAATGCAGCATTCGACCGATTGATTTTGGATCGTCCCGACATACATTCTTCGATTCTGGATTACCGCTGGCGTGCAATTGTCGGATTGGAGTGAATGTTGTCAAGCACCTCTGGCGGGAAGCATTCCGATGGTCATTGAACCTCCCTGCTGGTATAAACCGCAGGCGCGGATTCTCACGCTATACAATTTGAAAGCTATGGCTAGCCGTTGAAATGGAGAGGTAGGGAGAATG